GTCCGATCTCTCTGGCCCCAAAATGAAAGTAATTTTTCACAGGTTTTCATAAGAAATATTTTAATAGATATGTATCAAGTTTAGAAGTTAATAACCTGGGACTGGAGTACATGGCTGGCACTGCTGGTCTCCCCGGCGCCACCTGGTGGCCAGCTCTGCAGGATCAGGGCCCAGAACCACAGACCCTGGGCTGAGGATTTCCAGGGGGCCCTAGGTCCCCCACACCGCACCGGTAACCCACACCCCACCTGTCTGTATTTAAAATTAAAACCGTAACAGCACTCATTCTTTTTTTTCCACAGTTACTCATTTCGATTCTGAACCAACTGGGGGTAAGTTGAAATTTGTTTTTAAGTGATTATACTACAATTACAGTAACAACAAGTCTCACGATGGAGACATTACTGGGCCCGCTCGAGCCAATCCATGAATAACGGGAGGACCGTGACCGTGATCTATTAAGTGAATTGAAGATAATATATACTTTTTTTTTTCATTTTAGGGCATTTTGGGGGTAAGAATTTACTTCTTTGTCTTTATTAATACAAGTAAGTGGCATTTAATCCCAGAAAAGGTAAGTGTGTCCCTTCCAAGCCACGAAAACACTTGGCAGAATCAAACCCAGCAGATCTACCCGAACTGGGGCTTTAGAGTTAGGATCTGGAGTTCCTTCAGGATATTTTGATCACAATCTATAATCTCCACTTAAAGCTGCCTCTAAACAAAAGGGCTAAATGGGAATCATGCTCATGATGTCGCTGGTATTTCATAAAATTTCATTTGTCAAAATACATGCAATATTAGATCATAAAATTTCAAATGGCAAGTTTCACCTCCAGTTTGCTTTTGTCTTATGGAAATTTGGTGTAAACCGTGAGAAAGTCAGCCATAAAAATACCAAACCTGACCTCAAGGCAGCAGAAATGCAGCCGCAACTTAACAGACAGACTCCGCATCTGAGAACTGGCTCAGTCTCTCCCAGGAGGCTTTGATTTAAAATCATGCGAAGGGCCAGAGATAGTACAGTGAGTGACAGGCTGGCCTTGCATGCAGCTAACCCAGGCTCAATCTCTTGACCATCCCGATGGTCCCCCAAGAACTGCCAGAAGTAATACCTGAGCACAGAGTCAAGGTGTGTCTATCCTCTTAACTTGACCTCCAAAAAAAAAAAAAAAACAGGCATGTGGAAGGTTCCAGAGAGACAGCCTAGTGGGTAGGGTGTTTTCCTTGCATGTGGCTCACCCAAGTTGGACCCCCAGCATCCCATATGGTCCCCTGAGCTCACCAGGAGTGGTCCTTGAGTGCAAAGCCAGCAGTGAGCCCTGAGAATCGCTGATAAATGGCCCAAATACAGCAAGCCAAAAAAAGAGGGATGAAAAAAAATATGCAAAAAATACCCCCAAACGACCAAAAAAAAAATACATTTCCTTTTTTAGTATCTAAATTGATATCAGGATTATGTAGAGAATGTGTTGACTTTAATCTCTCCTTTGAGAGTTGTTGAAACAAACTTTTCTCAGCCCCAATTTTGAGAGAGAATTCTACTCAAATTTTCCTGACAATCTTCACTAGCCTGAAATGCTTCGTTTCTTAAGTGAGGAAAACTGACTTCTATGTTGAGGATAAATACTGTTTGTTATATCCCCAAATGCCTAATTATACCGTATTAACTCATCAGCAGCAGTAATCATCACGGGAAAAGGGAGGTGCCAAGAACGATTCATGGCAAAACTATCTTCATATGACAACAGTAATCTTTATTCTTTGTTTTGACAGTAGTAATTCGCTCCGATACCAGAAGCTCCATGCGGTGAGTAAAATCTCCAAATACCTTACAAGCACTATGACACATCTGAAAATAAGTTGCCTCTCTAGGGTTGTGAGAGAGAGAACAGGGGCTAACATCTTTAGGCAGCCTAACCGGATTCGACAGTCACTCCCGGACACAGACCCGGAACAGCCTCTGGGAAGAGCTGGGTCTGCCTGAAAATGAAAAGAAATAAATATCTTGTCTTAATAGGGGCCAGGAAACTATTCAAAGAGCCAGAGTGTGTGTCAGGAAAACACCACCAGGGGGCGCTGGAGTCCCCCAAGCAACGCTGCCTGTGTAGGGGAGTGGGGGGGGCCTGCACACCCAGACTGTCAGCCCACTCAACCAAGCCCAGTTCACTTGAGTGACCCAGGCCCCCTGCACACTACTAGGTGCTCCCTCCAAAAGGACTTCAATAGCCTCAGGTCGGACTGTGAGACCTGTTGCTACTATTTTAATAAAATAATCAAAGTTGGTATGTAACAAGGCCAAATTAATTACAAGTGCTTTTTTCAGTCAATGTATTAAAATCAGATTATTTATTAAAATAATATATATTTAAGGAAGCAAACTGAACCCCCCAAAGCCTGTCTAAGGCAGCAGAGAAGCAAAGCCTCTAATGTTTAATTTTTTTTTCTTTTTGGGTCACACCCGGCGATGCACAGGGGTTACTCCTGGCTCTGCACTCAGCAATCACTCCTGGCGGTGCTCAGGGGACCATATGGGATGCTGGGAATCGAACCCGGGTCGACCACGTTCAAGGCAAACGCCCTACCCGCTGTGCTATCACTCCAGCCCAAAGTCTCTAATGTTTAGAATTTTCTAGGTCATATCTTTAGCTCCCAGGCTTTAGCTCTGGGGAGAGCTACGGTCTTGGGTAAATTGAGTACATGCTTCTGTCTTGGTGTGAAATGCCTTCGAGGCTCAAGAACACCCTCCAGGAAGACAGAGTGTGGTCACTTATCCTTCAGCCAAGAAAATATCAAATAAATTGTCTTGGCGCCAAAGTGACACCAACAATTCCAACAGTGCTAGGCAAATCCGAGGTGCTCCTTTAATTTCCGGTCACAGTGCCAGGGAGGCAGGGCAGGGGTGAGGTGCTGCATCCCTGCTGCTGGCAGCTCATTCCCCGACCTTCCTAGGGGCCTCAAAGCACCGCCAGGTGTGTCCGTGGGGCCTTCCTTGGGGGCTCCAAGCCCCCTGAAATGCTCAAGGCACAAACCATAAATGCATTACCATGGGCAATATGAAGAACGTTGAAGGATAATCTTCCAAACTGCACACTTAAGAAATGAGTCGTGAAACTTTCACTGCCTTGGGGAATCCAACAGGGAGATCCTAGGTTTTGCAACCAGGCACAGCAGAATTCAAACCCCAGCTCTGTCCCTTACTGAATAAACCCGGGGGTGACCTTCCTGAGTATCAGTCTCACCTGTGGACTAGGAACACTGCCCTTTATTCACCAGGATTCTAGCGAGGGTGAGAGCCAATGTGGGTGAATATACAATCAATACTATTCCCGCTTCTCTAAGGCTCTCTAAGAACAAAAGAAAATCGTCTATAAACACAAGAAAATCAGACATGAAGGCATTACCTAGTAACATGAAAGTAGAAAATCCTCCAGAAATATCTTCGACTTAAGTGTTTTTGTTTTTCTTGATTATAGATGGTGCCGGAGACCAACAGTGAGGATTACCTAGTTAAACCTAGAGTTTAGAAGTTTGCTGTTTTGCATACTTTGAGAATGTTCCAGAAAAAAAAAATTCCAAAATGCTGTGATAAAAACTGCATCTACAGACCATGTGCTTTGCGCCTACTATAAACCAAAGTTGAACACAACCTAATGTCTTTCTCTCTTTCCCTTCCTTTTGGGGGAGGGGATGTCTGGCGTTGGCCCACCCACCCCTGGAATGTTCAGGATTCTGCCAGGTGGGGCTGTCCTCCTACCCAGTCTCATGGCGCTCACACATGCTGGTCTCGCTGTGTGCGGGACTCCCTCATTTTCCCAGAGGGGCTCCCACACACTCGGCTCTGGTAACACCAAGGATCCCAGTGAGTGTGGAGCCCCAGAACCACGCTTGGCAGCAGGCCATGCCAGGAACCGAACCCTGAGCCTGGTGCCTGCAAAGCCCGTGCTCTAACACCGAGCCCTTCCCAGCCCCCAACCTCGGTGCCTTTATAATGTCAGTCTCAACAGCTCCAGCGTTAAACAAGGGAACATCACTCTTCAGGGAATTAAAAATTACCCAGTTTCTCAAAAGTGTTTGTTGCGGTTTTAGAGAGGACTATTCCATGCAGGAAGAAGCAAGATTTTAAAGTTCATCTTAATGGGGCCACAGCAATAGTTCAACGGGTAGGGTGTTTGCTTTGCATGCGGCCGACCTGGGTTCGATTCCCAGCATCCCATATGGTCCCCCGAGCACTGCCAGGAGTGATTCCTGAGTGCAGAGCCAGGAGTAACCCTGAGCATCGCCGAGTGTGGCCCAAAAGGCAAAAACAAAGAAACAAAACCCTTAAAGTTGACCTTACAGAGCAGCTTCTTCCTCTTAGGAAATTCCTGTATTGGTACCCGAGGACTAGGACTTCAGGGACGCTAGAGAATTGGGACTGTACATAAAACCTCCCATAAATAGAGCATTCCAATGCTTCTGGGCAAGCAAAACTTGGAAATCACACGGGGGGGGGGGGGGGAGGAAAGTCTCAGTTCTCCCCTTTCTCCAACTCTCTGAATAAAAGCAAGCAGCTCACTCGCCCTGACGCCTCCTTCTCTTCAGCTGTCCCACCTGTAATCCAGGGAGAAGGCGGGTGGAGCCAACATAGCTCCACCCCAGGCTGATGGGGGCCAATTACCGTGGGGTGCCCCCAAGGGTCTCAAAGATAGAAGGGGCTGTGTCTCCGCCCCACCCAGGGCACCCAGAAACCAGCCCTTTCAAGGGTTCATTACACTAACAACGTGGCCCTCAAAGCACAGTTCCAATTTTTAAATTCCCTTCCTCAGAAAAACACTTCTGTTCCCTGAGGCGTCCTCCTCTCCTTCAACTGCCTTCTGAACGCCGGTTTGTTAATTCATTTATGACATACACAGTTTCAGTCGCGCAAAACAGACATTATTAACCTAGATGACTGATTTCCTTGACATTCTTTTCATTTGGAATTTTTGGAATAAAGACAACAGCCTTGGTTCTTTGATCACTAAACTTTATTGACTTCACCGGTGACTAAAATTACCTCATAAAATTGATGGTTCGTGTTAAAAATACACAAAGTTCCCGTTTTGGAAACCAGCTTCCATAAGATCATAGGCAGCAAAATGGAAAGCAAACCACGGACAGAAACTCAGTTTTAGACAACGGCGGGTCTCCTCCTGAAGGGAGGTCCTTCTGGTCTCAGAAGATGAGGAGGCTGACGGACGAGATCTGTGAACGGGGATGTCGCGTCTGAAGAGCAGGTCGCCCTTATTTCAAGAGCTCTTCCAGGATCAGTGCTTGCTTCAATCCCGTCATGCTTAAGTAGAATACTACAAAATGTGATGGCATTCCTTTGGGACCAGAAAGAGAATCCGGCCCTCCGGTCCACGAGGTGTGTGAAGCTCACCTGGTGGGATCCTGCACCCGCACTGCACCCCGAGGCAGTCGCCTGTGGCCCCCTACACCCCCCGGCAGTCGGCCTGGGGGCCCTCGCTCCAGTGCGCGTCCCGCTTCTCGGCCACGTGGCGGATGAACTGCGCGTGGCTGGCGTAGAGCTGCAGCTGGTCGTTGATGTCCACCCACTTCACCTTCCCGGCATCGTCCCCGGCTTCGAGGGCCAGATGATCCATGATCTCACCTGGTGACCGAGGAGAAAACGTCGTCAGCAGAAAGGAACGCCCTCGTTTCCTTTCCAGCACGCACGGGATCTTAGGCTGAGTGGGACTGAAACCGTCTCCAGCCACCACTGTGCCCAGGGGCCACCTGCATGAAAACCTGAGGCCCACGGGCGTCTGTGCCAGGTGTTGGCGGGAACCACGCCAGGGCTCAGGCCAGTCTCGACAGAGCAGAGCCCAGGGTCCACAGAACGCGGACGGGGTGGCTGCAAGGGAGAGGCAGGAGAAGACAGTGACGTGAATGACCCACAAACTGGCCAGCTGCTAGACCATCGACAGCTCTTAAGCCTAAAACACAGTTCTCACCCTTATCATGCACTTACTGCTGGTCTGTACTCTTCTATTTTATCTTCTTGCCTATTTAAGTTCTCGGTGCAAGAAAGATGAACTGGGGCCATTCAGGGCTGGGGATCAAACCTGGGAGCTAACTGGTCAGTTAACCTCAAGGCCAGTGCCTCGGCCTTGTAATTCACTTTTAAAACAGAGTACTGTAGGGGCTGGAGAGATAGCACAGCGGGTAGGGCGTTTGCCTTGCACACGGCCAGTCCCGGGTTCAAATCACAGCATCCCATATGGTCCCTTGAGCACCACCAGGAGTAACTCCTGAGTGGAGAGCCAGGAGTAACCCCTGTGCATTGCCAGGTGTAACCCAAAAAGAAAAAAAAAAAAAACAGAGTACTGTATCACTGAAACCCAAGCACAAAAAATTGTAAGTCTACAACTGTACCACATGGAGTTTCACGAATAAAAATAATAGAAATAAATAAACAAATAAATAAAACAGAGTACTCCCCTCTCCTTTTCCAATAAAAAAAAATTGATTCCGCCATCAAAAACAAATACTTTTAATTCATGGACTAGAAAAAAGCATTAATTTTATAGTTTTTCTTTGCTTGAGAGCATTTTTGGCATTGTGTTTTCATAATAAATGCCTATAGTAAAGTATTTCAAACAGTAAAATAAATATCAATTTATTGTGGCCATACATCCAACTTCCTGCCCAAATCCCCAATGATTCAATAGTCCTCAGGGACATAATTTTAGTATAAAAATTCCATCTTGATTTGGAATACTCCCAATGGACTAAAGGAAATTAGCTGCTAGCAACACTTTGCGGCTTTCTTTCTAATACTTTTTAATAACAACAGTTTATTTTGGTTTCTTTTGTCTCATTTTGGTGTGACTTTTGGGCTACACTCAGCAGCCAGGGCTACTTGCAGCAGTGCTCAGAGGACCCCACCCTGCCAGGGTCCAGCTGGTCCTCAGTAATCAGGGCACAACATCCTGCCAGGGACAACCTAGTCTGAACACAGAGCACGAGCACAGCCCACGGAGCGATTTCTCCAGCCCCAATTATGATTACTTATAAGGGTGATTCTCTAACCAGTCAACTTGGATTAAGATGCTAAAACTTAATTATGCCTGAGGTGATGCAAACTGAATCATGCCTGAGGTGACTTGATGTAAATGGATCCTCTGATCCAGGGGGGTTAATACAATCGGAGGAATTACCAGTTTCGTCATGGTAGTTCACAGCTTCTGTCTCCATCCACGCATTGTCAGTGTTGCGAGGGTCATCCACATAGCCCTTATAGATCTATTTCCAAAAGGAGGGAGATTAAAAAAAAAATCGAAGGTGAATGAGGAAGGGAATGGAGGGTGGAGAAACTACCTTCTTAGGAGTAGGAATCTAGTAAAAGTCATATTGCAGAATAATATGCATGTCGTTCATATACTAAGGAGCAGCCGAGGGGGAGGAAGTACCAGGAAGCCCCCACAGGGCCTCTCTCTCCGACCCCATGGAGGGGCCTCTCTCTGTCTACGGACATGCCTGTGGTTACTGTGACCTCTGTGGGCATCACTGAACACAGCGAGTGACACTGTTCACCAGCAAAGAAAGTGACCTGAACGCTTGAACCCAACCTGAACCTATACAATACACTGATGATAAGCATGATGTCTTGTATGCACTCAGGAATAAATTCACTTTTGTGGTAACACTAGAGACTAGTATTTAAGCTATGAACAAATAAAAATGATTTGCATGTAGCCACCGAACATAAATGTGCTCACCCTAGTCATGGTGTAATATCACTTATAATTATGAAATTGCAATTCTAGGAAGAAATCAGAACAATTCCAACAAAAGAAAACAACAACAAAAAGGAAAATAAAAGAGAAATCTGTCATTTCCCTTAAGATTAGTACACTTATAAAGTCATTTTAATCACACACAAAAATAACATGAAATTTAAATAGTTATTAATCAGAAAGACCCTGAGTGACAAACAGTAAAATATAAATTGTTTTCAAAAGAGCTGAATTCATACAAATTCAAATTTTTCTCTGTTATGTGGGTAAAGCTCAGTGACCCATTAACTCATACCTAGCTAAACGAAATCTTACAAGAGGGCCTGGGGAGACAGGACAAAGGCTCCAGCATTTGCCTCCTGCTGACCCTGGGCTGAATCCTCAGCGCCAACTAAGGTCCCCCGAGCTCTGCCAGGAGTCACTCCTAAGCACGGAGCCAGGAACAGCTCTGAGCACCACCAGGTATGGCCCAAAAGTCTACTAAAATAAGAAAAGCGGGGCTGGAACACAGCGGGTAGGGCATTTGCCTTGTACATGGCTGACCCGGGTTCGAGTCCCAATATTGCACAGAGTCCCCCGAGCACCGCCAGGAGTAATTCCTGAGTGCAGAGCCAGGAGGAACACACACTTGTGCATGGCCAGGTGTGACACCCCCCTCCCCCCCAAAAAAAGAAAAGCGTGATTATCAAAAGGGCCATTTGTGGGACCAGTAAGATAATAACGCAGGTAAAGCCAAGCCCTAGGCTTGCATGGGCAATCCCCAGCACTGCCGACGGTCTCGACCCCAGCAGGAGTGACTGCTGAGCCCGGTGCCAGGCTGAGTCAGCCCCGAGCGCCCACACGGGTGCCCCGAAGCCCCCTGCCCCTCAAGGAATGATGTAACTGACTTACAGAAATCGACAGCGAGGTTGCCAACACGTATTTCAAATACGTAAGTATCTCCATTTTGGGAAACATCCTCCCGGACTCCCAAGGGGCCGTAAGGAACCTTCGCCGACCCCGGGACCAGACCGCCCCCCAGGAGTCCCGGTCTTACCACGAGGTGGTCCTGGCTGAAGAGCTTCTGCAGCTGCTCCTCCAGCTCCCTCTTCTCGGCGCTGGATTTCTGCAGGGAATTGAGCGCCTCCTCACTGAACTCCCGCTTCAGGGTGGCGCTGATCTTCTCTCCCGGGTCCACCATCCCCTGAGGGTCCGGAGGGGAAAGAACGGGAGGGAGACTGCAAGTCAGGGACAAGTCCCACCGTGGACCGTGACTGTCCCACCGCCCCCCACAAGGGCTCTCGCTCCTCTGCACACGCTCCTCTGAAATCATCAATTTCCCGAGAAACGGGCCGACAAGTCACCGCCCCTGGCTGACCACAGTGACGGCACAGGCGGAGCCAACCCGATGCACTTCCACGTCTCAAACTCAGGCTCAGGCAGCGGCCTTGGAGGCAAGAAGGAAAGCAGCGGCCACCTCCCCACTGCTCAGCTCTGTCTTACCCCCCATCGTCCACGCTCCAGCCACACGACTCCCTGGGAGTCCCAGGAGGGTCACTGGCTGCTGACAGACAGCTCACTTCCAGGTGCCCTTCCCTCGCCACGCAGGTCATTCAGACCCTCCCTGCCGCTCTTCACCCCAACGCCACTGTCTTGAGCTCCCCAAACTCTCAGCAAGCCAGGCCCCTGCCCTGTGTGAGATCCCCTCACGCCAGCTCACCTTGGAGCACCAGTAAGGCTTCTCTGACCCTCTGTCCATCCTGACGCCCCCCCCCAAACTCAGGGCCAGGAAAAGCTGCAACAGGCTAATCCCAAGCCTGACGTTTGGAGGGGGTGACAACCCCTCTCGGCAAGAAACTTCCCTGTCCCATCCCCTTGGCTCTGAATGGGCCCCAATGACCCTCTCCTCAAGAGCACCCGGGGGCCAAGAAGGTAGCTCAATGGGCGGGGGCACATGCTTTGCATACACGAGGCCCGGGCACGGAGCTGGGAGTGACTCCTGAGCACCACCACGTGTGGCCCCTCCCAGACCTCAGCACAGCTCCTGGTGACCACCAGCCCACTCGGATGCTTCTCCGCCACCTTCTGTCAGCGACGTCTGTCTGTCCTGCGGGCCAGAGTCGCGTGTGCTCGAGGGCACCCCTGGGCTTCCTGACGGGCGGCTAGAACGTGGCCACCCTTGCCCCGCTCCCTCTCGTCACAGCCCTCTGGCCCACCCCTCCTGTCTAGAGCAGAGCTCAGTGAGGCTGCTTGCTACACCCCAACATCTACAATATTAATGGACAAAAGGCCCCAGGTACAGATCACAGGAGATGAACGGCGTCCAAAACCATACCGAGACAGCACTCACTGCACTCATCTGAATTTCAAATTCATGACAATAAAAATACACATCCTGTGATGAAATCATTAGCATTTTTGCACTCAAAATGAGTTACGTTTGACTGCTTGGCTTGTAGCAATTGTACGTCAGCCAAAGTCCGCTGAGATCTTTATTTCCATTCTACTTGTATCCTCCAGAGTCAGGTCAGCTGACTACTTGCATCCTTCACGTCTTCTACTTGTATCCAACAAAGGAAAAGCTATTCTGGCAGTGAAGAATGTAGGGTTGCCTCGCTCATCAAAGGATCTCCATTCCTCACTACGGCACTGTGAGCACACACCCATTTTTGAAAGCTACTTCAAATACACTACTCGACACGAACTTAACAACAACAACAAAAAAACCCCACTCTTTCTAATATTATGGGCATTTTTTAAAGTACAAGGACTGTTAAGTAACAGGAGTTAACTTTTTCTTCATTATGTCTAAAGGTCTCAAAGTTCAACCAAAAACTACTACAATTTACCTTACTTTGGGCTTGGATTACGGTTAAGTTCAGAGAAGGAACTAAACAACCAAGAACCAACACACATGATTATGGGTTGCACTCTCTCTCTCTAGTGATCCCATGAAGTAAGATATGACTGTCTGTAAAGACGAGATCTGAATTCCATATCACTCAATTCCATACCTTAGGTTTCTAACTTCAAAGTTCACCTTCTTTCCCCGGTTTTAGGACTGAACTCAGAGTCGAGGGCCTTGCTCTATTCTCCTACACTTGGGACGGACAATGACCCCCTCACTACAGTGGTAAACCACAGAGGAGTGGTGGAAACGGAGAGGGATAAAGGATAAAGAGAAGGTCCAACAGCAACCACCTTCTAGCAAGCAAAGAAACGGAAAACAGGGGCTGGAGCAATAGCACAGCGGGGAGGGCGTCTGCCTTGCAGGCAGCCAACCTGGGTTCGATTCCCAGCATCCCATATGGTCCCCCCCAGCACCGCCAGGAGTAATTCCTGAGAGCAGCAGAGTCAGGAGTAACCCCTGAGCATCGCCAGGTGTGACCCAAAAAGAAAGAAAAAGGAAAACATGAGTCTGATTTTAATGCTTACCCCTGGGATTGCCCATTCTCCACAGTCTTTCCTTTTTATTGCAACAAACTGTAAGATATTTTTTCCGGAAATGGGGTGAGTGATTTTATTTCCACTTTTATCCCTTTTCCACCTAAAAATAACAATTTAAAAATCACAGCTAATTTAGAACAAAAACCAGCATTATATTTCAAACTTGAGAAAAATTTATAAAGATGAAGTTTTCATTTATAAGATTTTATAAAAATTTACCTCCTATATGCTAGTTTCTATCAAAATACTCTTTTGCATGAGAAATAGCCTACATTCAGCAAGTTACAGAACAGGATCATTGTCTATTGGCTGCAAGAATGTTACAGTCTCTGTAATGAAAATTCAGGATGCCAACAGTTGTTACTACTTAAAGTGTCATCCAAAAGAAAAATCTTAAGCTAAACAGAATTTAGAAGCAGCATTTAAAAACTAATTTTTCTTAAAGAAATTACAGGGAGTTGTCCTGTCCCCAGCACCTCTCTCTCGGTGCATCCCTGGCACCCACAGAATTACAGGTAGTGTGAAAATCTATAGGGTCTTGGTTTTGTCGTTCACTCTGAATTAGTTATCTCAAGCTCCCAAGAGTATCTCGCCCTCACGGCAAAGCCTGGCAAGCTCCCCGTGACGTATTCGAGATGCCAAACACAGTAACAACATGTCTCACAATTTGTTGTGAGACGATACTGGTGCCCGCTCAAGCAAATCGATGAACGACGGGAGGACAGTGACGGTGAAGAACAGATTATCTGAGGAATCTTCAGCTGCTCTCATAAGCTTTGCCTTTCAGTCTTCATGCCATTTAGGATTAGAGAAAAAAAAAAGTCACTCTGCCCTTTACTTGATACCTTGAATTAAATTCATGTGATTTTTAAAAGTTATCAAGGCACTATTAATTTCACTATGGACATATTCAAACTCCAGTCTCTTTCCGAGGATATGAACAAATCTTCCCTTCACTACCACCAGTATATTCATCTCCCAAACCTAATTTTAAGAAACATTCTAGGGGCCAGAGAGATAGTACAGCAGGTAAGGTGCCTGCCTGACTTGCACGCGGCCAACTAGGGTTCAATCCCCAGCACCCCATATGGTCCCCTGAGCACCACCAGGTACATATCCGGAATAGCCCCTGAGTATTGCTGGGTGTGGCCCCCAAAACGGAAACAAAACCCAAAAAAAGGACATTTAGGTGAAAATAATGATTTTTGAACTTCTAATACTAAACAAAAAGTCTATGATCTTATCATCACTCTTCATGATACTTGAAGAAATACAGCAGCTTAGACAGGAGCTCCACTCTTGTTTGTAAAGAAACTGACGAGCACAGTCCCACAGTCCTACCTGACTCCCTAACTTCTTCCCCCACACAGCTCAGAGCCAGCAGAGGAGCCAAACACAGAGAAGAACAAACAAAGAGAGTTTGGTGTCAACAGTGAATAGAAATGAAAGATCTCTGCAATGTTTGTTTTCAAGGGTGCCAGACAGAAATGACACAGGAAGCAAAGCCAGGAAACCAAGAAATGTGTTCAAGAAACTGAATGCAGATGTGGAGACCAGCAAGAGTGGGCATCCCGGGTTTCTGTGCCAGTATCCACCCATCAGATTCTCCCCTGGCAGTTCTGCCAACAGCAGCAGTACTGTGTGCACTGCACGAGGACCCCTCTACCAAGCCCCTTCTCCGGTTCGGCGAGCTGAATCTCCAGCACAACCTGCAGGCACAGGGGGCAGGTGTCTCAGATTTTGAGATGCTGATTCCACGACATGTTGACATTTGATTTCTGGCTGCACTGCAACAGCAAGTGCTGCTAACTGGTGTCTACCTCACGCCACTTCTCTAAAGATGCTGCTGTGACTATTTTTTCCCCTTTATTTAAATCATAAAATTTCTGAAGGTCTTATTTTGGTGCCCTGGACTGAACCCAAGTTAGCGATGCAGAGCACGTCCTCTACTGCAGAATTTTCTGTCTGTGCTCACTGAAGTGAAGACAGTGACTGGTCAAGCAGGCTGGCAGGTGAAAACCCGGGAACGAAGAAAGAAGGAGTGGTAGGTAGGTGGGTGGGTGACAAGGGAAAAAAATGGGGCGGGTATCAGGTAAAGATCCCCTTTGACAGGGGAACCAAAAAGGCTATTACGAGAACAGGTATGACGAATACTGAAGCTTCTCTGGCTTCTGGAAACTTGAAAAGAGGGAACTTGGAAAGAAAGTCCATCTGCATTCTGAATATAGTAACCGTGACATGTGAGAAAAAAATTGGTCAATGAAGAAATCCTAAAAATAAAAACCACTCAAAGAATGACAGTGAAGACAAAATTTCCTAGATGTACTAGAAAGATGATTCAAACAGAGATGGCTAAATCTACCTGCGCGTCCAATTCCCTGACCTTCGTGGTTCTGCTTAATGTTCACTAAGAGGCCTCTGGCCGCGAGCAGACAGGCATCTGGTCTGTCTCGGGGAACACGATGCTCTCCTGCTCTGAAGCCTCCAGGGAGTCCGGCCCACAGTCCTTACCTTTTAACAACCAGTATTTGCCACAATGGAATGCGATAAAAGTCAATTAATTTTAAGTGTAATGAGACCCCTTTCTCCTAGAAAAACTGGGGGGTAGGTGGGGGCTTCACCTGGCATGCTCAGGGGACTTCATGGGGTGCTGCAAACAGACAAGTATCTTATCTGCTGCACTCTCTCTCCAGCCCCTCCCAGAGGAAGTTTTTGCTTCAACCAGCCGGGTCTCCTTCTTCACCTCAATCTTCACTTAGATATTATTACGAGCCTTTTAAGGCCTCCCCTTGGTCTCGACCCAAGCTCTGAGTTCAGTTCAGTCAACTTCCACAAACAAGTATTTTTTGGGGTGCTCTGGTTTGACATCACCACGCCCCACTCTCCAATCTACCAATTTTCCTAAAGCGCTTTGTGTCCTATTACCCATGATATTTCCTTATTTTCAATTTTTTATCTTGAAATAAAGCTACAGCTCTTCATTGACAGGGAGTTAAATCGTAGCATTCTTATACTTTCGTGTGTGTGTGTGTGTGTGTGTGTGTGTGTGTGTTCTTATACCCAATTTGCAAACAAACAGATGCTTGCTAAGTACCTAGTGAATTTACTTTGTTTCAATCATACCTAACAGACTTGTATAATTTACAACCACAACTTTACCCTCACAATATACCACTATAATCTTACAAAGATTTCCATTATAGACTCATGGATATGTCAAATATACACAAGTATGCCTTTAAATGAGTATGTGAACACATAATTATAGTCATATTTTTCCAGTCACTCTGTCATTGACTGATTTTTTTATTCTCACCTAGTTATGATGGGATCTGCAGCATGGTTTGGGCCCCAGCGCCCCAGAAGACCTCGACCAACAAGTCCTGTCCGTCCTGCCGGATTTCTGGGAAAGAAAAACATAAAATCAGTTGACTGTGTTGATTTTATAACTCAACTTGTCATGGCCAAAAGATGGTATGAAAACAGGCAGAGGCACTGGCAGCTGCACTTCACCCACCTCACCCGCGCTCAGGGCTGGGGGGCAACTGCAGGGTCTAATTCAATGCCAGAACATCTCCATAGAAGCCCCAGCAGCCAAACAGGAGAAACTATATCTACACTGAAGTACTGCTGAAATACCATAAACTGGGAATGGAAACACAACAACAGAGGCAGACGCAGCAGCCTGTTGATTTGTGCAAAATAGCAAATCAAGTCAGGGCCCAGACAAGTAGGAATCGAAAGTTTCACAGTCGGCACCCCTAAACTCTACGAATGAAAGGTAAACCAAGGAACCAGCTATACTGGCAGACAGGGACAGAAGTCCAGGCCAGCCTCAAGTTCGTCAAAATTCTCAGGTCAAGTTGAGGAGGACCTAAAAACAACACTCTAGGCAGTGGCAATGGAGAGGAAGCAATCACTGAAAGAAATGCAATCAACTCCAGGAGGAACTGATTCAGAGGATGGAAGAATCCATACAAATGAAACTAAAGTATACAACAGCAAGCCATAATATCAGAATTCTGGATATGGAGAGCCATATCGGTGACCTTGAAGACAAATATAAGTCATTAACAATAATGAAGTGGCAAAAGAAAAAAAGAAGTAAATGGAAGAGAATGGAAGAAACAATGGATAACCGAACAATAATAACATCTAAATTATAGTAATACCAGAAGAGGGAAGAGAGAAAGGGGAAGAATGATTTGAGGAAGAGACCATAGCTCAGAACTTCCCCAATCTCTGGAGGGAGCTTCTATACAGAGTCAAGAAGCCCAAGAGTGCCAACACAACGGACTCAAACAGAACAACACCAACACACACTGTAATCAAGATGGCATGAGCCAAACAGAATACTTAGCGCATCAAGACAAAGGAGAAACCTCAGCTACAAGGGAAATAACATAAGAACTGCAATGGATCTCCCATACGCAACCATACAGCGAGAAGAGTGCAATGACATATTCAAAGAACTGAATGAAAGAAAGCTCAACCTAGGGTCTACTACCCTGCAATACTGTCACTTAGGTTTGAGGAGGAATAAAAACACTTTCAGACAAAGAAGATGGTTTGTCCTGCAGGAATAACTGGAAAGCTGCCTATAAAAAGCAAACACAAAAAAAAAACATTTATTTGAGAAGATATATGCACACCTGTATTTACGGGAGCACTTGGTAAAACCAGGATATGAAAAGAACCCAAATGTCCGACCACAGACCCATGACTGGATAAACAAGTTGTGGTAAACATACTTTTGTGTACACATACATATGTGTATTTATATATATATATACATATATAATATATATATACGCAATAAAATACTTGCGCTGTAAAAAAAATGAAAACCAATGGTGGAGGGAAGTTGACACTTGTGGTAAGATGGCTGCTACAATATTGAATATCTAAACTCAACAATAAATAACTTTGTAAATCACAGTTCTTCAATAAATTTTTTCTAATGTAAATTTGCACTTTGTTGCAACTTTGAGAGGACTGGAGGGCATTATGTTAAGCAACATTAAGTCAGCGGGAGAAGAACAAACACCCGGTCCTCACTCATTCCAGGGACACAGAGAAACCGAATAAGGGAATGGACAGCACCGAACGGTGACAAACCCCTGATCTCGGACCACAAACTGAGACCACCAAACTCTGAGGGAACGCATTGGTGTAAAGGAAGAGCACAGGACAATAGTCAGGGCCCTGGGGTAAGGGCAGAGCACAGGACAGTGGTCAGGGCACTCTGATGGTGGTGAAGGTACAGGAACTTTGTACATTCTAAAAGAAAGCCGAAGATCTTGAACAATACTGCAACCATATTATATATAATGAAAGTAATATATTTTAGAAAAAAATGCTTTTTAAAAATAGTGTTGTCAGCACCCAAAAGGAGAGAGAGAACAAAAGGGAATGCCCTGCCACAGAGGCGGGGTGGGATGGGGGGGATGAGAGGTGGGAGGGATACTGGGATCATTGGGGGTGGAGAATGGGCACTGGTGGAGGGATGGGTACTCGATCATTGTGTAACTGAAGCCCAAGCACAAAAATTTGTAAGTCTACAACTGTACCTCATGGTGTTTCACCAATAAAAATAAATAAATAAATAAATAAAAGTAGTGTTGTTACATTCTCTGGTTATTTTTACTCTTACGTATTTCAATAAATTCTTACCCTAAGCTATTACTTCATTTAATAAATATTAAAAGTACAATTTTATATACAATTTATCTCTCTCTTCACAAAGTAGAGTTACAAGAGATGCATTCAATTTACATTAGCTCCCCTTATCTGTGAAATGAAACTAAAACTGCTACGGAGCATTGGTGGTCACTTGTGAGGCTACTTATAGAAGTTACTTTATGTAATACCCGTAAAGTCTAAGCACTCAGTACATGTTCATTGTATTTTCGACCTTTTCCACACTCATTACTGTAATACACTCAATTCCTAGCACCTACCTAGGTCTGCCATTTTTAATCTCATACAGGCCATTCTGGCTTTTCCTCTCCACGTGCCCATCCTTTTCATTAAACTTGGGAGAAAAGTTACTTTCGCTGTAATGAGAAAAAAAAAGCAAAGTAAGAAACAGTGACCCAGCTAATAACACCATAATAATGCCATTCAGTCATTCAGAGAAAGCAATATCCCTGGAACCAAATTATTCAAGTTCTTTAGTTACTTATTTATAAATCCATCTTACTCCTTTAAGAACAATTTAAGAAAAAAATAATTTAACCAATACCATAAGCAGCTCTGGGATAAAGGGAAGCAAAAACCCTGGGGTTCGGGGCTGGAGTAATAGCACAGCGGGTAGCGTGTTTGCCTTGCACACAGCCAACCTGGGTTCGATTCCCAGCATCCCATATGGTCCCCGAAGCACTGCCGGGAGTAATTCCTGAGTGCATGAGCCAGGAGTAACCTCTGTGCATCGCCAGGTGTGACCCAAAAAGCAAAATAAATAAGTAAATAAACCCTGGGGTTTCTCCAACACGCTACGAGGAATGATGACGTTGCTATCGGCAAAAGAACTGTGGCAACACTAGCTCCAAAAACAATATTCCTTGTCTTATCGTGATGTCTCTGTGTGATGTTATTTTAATATCTATAAATGTACACTGAGCAATGTCTTTGTTAAAGTAAACCCATAAAACAATGAACTCATCCTACAAACTCTGTAATGTAGATTAAGACCAATATAGTAATGCAGGAAATGATATAACTCTGGATTTGGATGGTGTTCACAGACATGTAAATGTAAGTTCTACTGGGCTGTACAGCACATTGCCCTTTACAGCATTTATGTTATACCACAATGAAATTATTTCTAAACAATTTTCCCCATATCACAAAATCCCCACCCTTCACTGGTGGAAAGGAAGAGCAGGTGAGCTCGGAGGCATCTCTGACAGAAGATGCTTTTTTAATTCTAGTAAATGAGCATAGACACATTTTAATAAGCATAGAGATGTTTCAATTCTAGTAAATGAGCGCAGATACTCGTGCTCTGTTTGAGAAATAATTTCCAATTCGGAAGATCTAGGCATTCTTTAATGACACCTAACTAATCTTCCATCTAATAGTAAAATAAAAAAGAATTAAATGAAAAAGTAATGAGATTATAAAACCAGAATTTTATACTTTCAGGAACACTAGATTTTATATTAAAAACAAAATGCAGAAACCTAGTTATAACTGAGGCATTAATAACAGTAATAAAGCTTGGCTTAGATGGTGATATAAATCCAACACTTAAACTAAATTTAAATAAGCAATGTATTTGATCTTCCTCTATATAACACCTTTGGACATCACTAATTTTAATCGTACATATTGAATATATAAAGGTAAAGGTAAAGGCCCTCCCGTTGTTCATCGATTTGCTTGAGCGGGCCCAGTAACGCCTCCATTGGAGACTTTGTTGTTACTGTGTCTGGCATATCGAATACGTCACGGGGAGCTTGCCAGGCTCTGCCGTGCAGGCGAGATGCTCTCGGTAGCTTGCCAGGCTCTCCGAGAGGGGCGGAGGAATCGAACTCAGGTCGGCCATGTTGGCTGCGTGCAAGGCAAACGCTCTACCGCTGTGCTATTGAATATGTAAAAAATATATATATATATATATATATATGTATACAACAAAATAAAAATAAATCATTTAGGTCAAGTAACTTATCTATTGGCTAACATCATGATCGATAATAGTACTGTCAGAAGATTACAAACACATCTGTGGATAAAATATGGGCTCCAAATTGTCACCAGTAATAAGCCCTTGGGAAGATCTGACAACTGAGTGAACTGAATCTGGCCAACAAGCAAAATTTTTTTGATTTGACAAGCTGAATAATACCTTGGGAGGACTACTAATTACAATACATTTGTCCATTAACTCCATTAACTTTGGGAACTGAAGTTAGGACAGCAGTGTAGTGCAATGGTTAGGGCCAGACTTCCCCCGAGCTCCCGCAGCAGCTGGCTCAGGAACTCCAGGCAAGGGCAAGCTCTCAATTCCTGGAGAAAGAGCAGCCCTGCCTGCCTGCAGAATAACTATTTTAAGAAATAATAATAATGCTTATAGAGCAGTGCAGAACAGCGCCTACTACCAGTTCTGAAACATGATTCTCGCTCTTAAGAGGGTGGGCCCCACTCCTCTCTGCAGCCCCCGGCAGTCTCACTGGGGTCTCCTTCTCCCTCCTCCTTACCTCCTGCTCCCCTTTCACTTCACAGATCTAATCTCATCAGCCTCTGTTCTTATAAATGAGGGATAAATATATCTAAAAAATACATTTTTTACTACATTAATCCAAGTCGAGATGGTCAAAATAACTACAAAAGATGTTCTGTTGATAACCGAAACAGGACCGATGAACTCAGACACCAGTCTTGCAACTTTATAAACCAAAACACTCCAGACTTTTCTATTGGTGAGGATCGTTGGACCTGACCTCCAAAGCACGAACAAACACCGCCTGCCCCTCCTCAGCAGATCAAGTGGAATGTGCAGCCTGCTCTATATGCGGCAAAATCAAGCCTACATAATTCTTTTTTTTTTCTTTTTGGGTCACACCCAGCAATACTCAGGGGTTACTCCTGGTGGTGCTCGGGGACCCTCTGGGATGCTGGGGATCGAACCCGGGTTGGCCACATGCAAGGCAAACACTCTCCCCACTGTTCTATCACTCCAGTGCCTACATAATTCCTGAGTTGTCCTGACAGTGGACATTGCAAACCCTTTCTCTCCCTGGCAGTCTTGGGTCACCCAGCCCAGCTGACGCTCACCTGATCTGCGGGTCGGCCCACTGGGGCCCAGCCAAGACCGAGCGGGCCGTGTACTCCACGGGGTCATAGTCGTGCCACTCAACCCGCCAGCCCACCTTCTCGTTGGGCACCTGGCGGCGATGCACCTCCGAGCCGGGATAGGGCGACGTGCGGGCCTTGTAGTGGGAGTGCGCCTTCATGTCCTTAGCGCCGGACATGACGTTGGAGTTGAAAGGAAACCAGCAAGACGAAAAGGCGTTTCTGGTGGGGCGAGAGTGGAAAGAGGACAAATTTTTCATAAATGTCAAGAAAAAAAGTGAATGAACTGAATCTTAAAAAAAAACAAACACTGTCCTCGCGTTGTTCATCGATTTGCTCGAGCGGGCCCAGTAACATCTCCATTTTGAGACTTGTTGTTACTGTGTTTGGCATATCGAATACGTCACGGGGAGCTTGCCAGGCTCTGCTGCATGGGCGAGATACTCTCGGTAGTTTGCCAGGCTCTCTGAGAGGGGCGGAGGAATCGAACCCAGCTCGGCCAGGCTGGCTGCATGCAAGGCAAATGCCCTACCACTGTGCTATCGCTCCAGCCCTAAAAAACTAAAAAAAAAAAAAAAAAAACTTTTAATTACAAGGAACTAAAAATGAAAACTTGCAACTATATGTGTATTAGTAGTGCATAACAGTCCCATTTGTGAGAAATTATTTTCAGACAGGATAAAATTTTAAAGATAGCTAAATTTTATGGATATCTACTGATCGAATATATTTCTGCTGAAAAAACGGGACATTTATTGGGTTTTCTTATCCGCTGAGGGAAAAAGCTTGTAATGAAAACTCAACCATATAATCAGAAGAAAGCTAGGTAAGTCCACACAACGGAACAGATTTGGAGAGACACTCGACAGTACAACATGCGTGTGTAACTGTACAGCAAAGACAGCCCTAAGGAAGAAGAAACTGAAACGATACTATTATAGGTTCACATGTTGTACATAATTTAATGTCATACAAAGATAGACTGTGATAAGTACACCAATTTAAAACTTCAGAGTGAAACTTAAAAGGTAAAATTAGAAAACGGTGCTGAAATACTTGAGTAACACACACAAACACACACAAGAGACTTTTGGCCACAGCCCCGTCAAAATGTGTCACTCTCCTGCCTAAAATAAAGATGAAAATTTCCAATTGTGTTCAATTAGAACATCTAAAGTCAAAAACAACATTCCTGGGAACACAATAAACCAAAGAGATCACCAGTTCCCTTGCTCACGCCACTGGCCGCTTCCCAAACAAACAGCGGGCAAATTGGAGAGGTGGTGAGGTAAGTGACACATCACGTGGCCGTTCTCGTACACTGAGAGGCAAACTTGAGGCATACATGACGACTTCTGCACGCTTCTTGCAAGAATACGGGAACTGAGTCACCACTGCCAAACAGTGACCTTAGTTAGCATTGCTATAGGTTTTGTAAGGTAAAGTCAGAGCCACAGACAGTTCAAAGTAGATGCAGACTACAGACAAATTGAAATCGGTAATTCTGGACCATAAAATCCTGTACCATAAAAGGGAGGAAGGGAGCTCTCTTTAGAAGTACATAAAGACGAGGATACAAAAAGGTTATTTACGGCCAATCTCGGAAGAGACGCCAAGCCAATGAAACTCCCAGGCAGATAGGTCTCCAGGCTGAAAACTCTGGGGCCTTTTGGCAGGTGGCACCTGCCCAATGCCACCCACACCCGCCCCTGCCCCACGTCCTGCCTGGAGCCCAGCAGCCCCACCCTCACAGCCTCGGGCACAGGAACAGCTCAGCTTCGAAGCTTCAGGGCTAACCCAGGAAGAGAGGCCAAGCCAACGAAACGCCCCTGGCCATTTCCAAGTTTCCACACTCACAGCTCCAACAGAGCAGAGCAAATGAGACGGGAAAGTTGCAAAGAAATCCACTAAGCACAGTGAGAAAAACGGTAAGGCCGAAAGCGCAACTAGCAACTCAGTCAATCCTTAGACAAGGACTTTAATAAAATCGTGGGTGTGAGATGATTTTCGCAAATTTTCTTTTGCCTAACTAATCTTTCGATGATTCCATTCTCATTTTGTTGTGACAAGAAACATGAAATAAATGATCTTGTGCCTACTGGGGGTGCAGGCTGGAGGGTCAGTGGGTAGCTGAGAACAATGGTGGAGGCAGGTCGCAGTGCTGGGACACGGCATGCCTCAAACAACCGTATTGTGAGCAACCCTGTAAGTCGTGGTATTTAAATCTTTTTAAAAAATTAAATTTTTTCCTATCAAAGAAAAGCTTAAACCAGATGACTTCATCAGTGAATTCTACTAGACATTTTCTAAAAAATTGACAGCAATCCTCCTCAAGTTCCTGAAAGCTATCTAGCAACAATCAATGTATATACATTTTTTTTAACCCAGAAATTCCATTCCTGGAAAGCTGTGTTCAATAGGCAAATAAATCTTAGGAGAAAAGCTGCCCCAAAATATCAGAAGCCGTCATGAAATTTCCCAAAGATCTCCCCTAAGATTTATGACATTAAAGAAAAGCTATCAAGTAGTACAGTTATAACAGTATAATGTTCATGCTTCAGGTGTAAAGCAGAGATCATTCGCCTGCACCTCTCTAGTCCGTGACCTGGAGCCCGTCTCTCCTCACCTCTAACCCCGCTTGGTAACTTCAGTCCTGCAAAGCCCACGCACTTGTTTAGGGAACACCATGTGGCCCCTGGCTTTCTATCTCTATACATCACAAAGTTAGACATCTGTCTTCCTGATTTATTTCACTGAACATGACACCCTCTCAGGCCACCAAACTGATAGGATTTTATTCAATCATTTCAAAGGCAGGACAATCATTCTTTCTTGAACACTGTCCTTTTATCGGCCTTGCCAACTCTGCATAAAAACAAGCAATAAAAAAAAAATTAAACATAAGATTTTAAGACCTGCCTTCATAACATAAGGTTCCCACCTGCCTTCTCTGTTGTTCTGGGGCTACTCAGAGTTCCGTCCTCACGGTCTGCTCCCTGTGGTACTCGGGATGGAACCGAGGCCTCCAGGCAGGCCTTTCTGTGAAACAGCTCCAATCCTCCACCTGCCTTTTCCACAAGTTTTAGCGGCACACAAAATAACATGGAAAGTACGAAAAGTTCTTATATGCTCCCACTTCATGCACGCACACACGCACCACTATCCCAAAGTCCTCAATTTACGTGCGGTTCAGCATTAGTATTAGATAAGGGACGTATGGCCACAATTGTAATACATTCTGACTAGCAGCATGCCTGAGAAATTCTGACCTCTTACCCCTACCACCGCCACGTCCCAACTCTGGGAGCTGATGCAGTATGTTCAGTGTCTTGCCTTTTTCTGAACATCACATGTCAGTGGTGTTCATCATACAGAAGAGTGCTTGGGCTGGAGCTATAGCACAGCGGGTAGGGCATTTGCCTTGCACAAGACCATCCCAAGTTTGATTCCCAGCATCCCATATGGTTGCCCGAGCACCACCAGGAGTAATTCCTGAGTGCAGAGCCAGGAGGAACCCCTGGGCATCGCCGGGTGTGACCGAAAAAGAAAAGTGGTTTATTCCACCACAAAGCACAATTTCATGGTTTCTTCATGTCATTTCTTGCACCGCTTGAACATTTGAGGGTTGTTTGTTTTAGAACTGAGTACCATTCCTGTCTGGATGCAGCAGCCTGTGTATCTGCACACCAAGAAGAGCATCTCGGCTACTTCCATTTGGGCAACCACAGATGAATCTGGTAGAAACATCCACGTGCATCCTCCGTGAGACCAGAACTTAACAATTCAGCCAGTCCACAACCAAAAGACTGCTGCATGATATGCCAAGCCTCTCTTTGGTTTTTCAAAGAAAACCCCACGCTATTGCATTTGGCACTCACTATGGATCCGTGGACAACCTGGCAGGCTACCGCATGGAACCTGCCCACACGGCAGAGCCTGGCAAACTCCCCGTGGCGTACTCAATATGCCAAATATCAGTAACAATGAAGGGTCTCATGCTCCTAGCCCTGAAAGAGCCTTGAATGTGGCACTTTTTAAAAAATCTCAGGGCTAGGATGAAGGAGACGTTCCTGGGAACTGCTCGAGGCAGAGGCAATCGACGAACAACAGGATTATCGTGACCGTGATGGATCCGTGGAGGACTGTTTCACAGCAATGATCAGGAGAAGACTGACCAGTAAAGAATTGAAGGTTCCAGAGGAGCTGGACACTAGTATCGGGTGGTGGAATATTTCACTTGCCACTAATTTTATGAACATCACAAACACCTTCCCCATTTTCACGCTGCGTTTGCGTGTGTGTGAGACTTTCCAGGAAACCCACACAACCTCCACTGAAAATCTGATCTTCCTCTAACCCACCCCCAGTGTAACAATCAGGATATAAGGAAACACAGGCATTGGGGGGCTCAGAGCCCCCCACCAGCAGGCAACCATGCACTGGCCTCGCACGTGGCTGTCCGGGGCTCAATCCCCCTCTCCACCTGGTGCCCCCGGGAGCCAGGGGTGAGCCCTGAGCACCCCGGGGTGGGACCCCAAGGCAGAAAAACAAGTCGCTCATTCCCATCATATAAGGGCCCGAGCGACAGCTCAGCGGGGAGGGCGTCTGCCTTGCACGCGGCCGACCCGGGTTCGAGTCCCAGCATCCCATAAGGGGCCCCTGAGCACCGCCAGGAGTGATCCCTGGGTGCAGGAGCCAGGAGGAGCCCCTGTGCATCGCTGGGTGTGACCCAAAAAGCAAGGAACAAAAACAAAACGAGCCGGCAGACTTCGGTGAGTCCCAAAGCTGTTCTTCTGCCCCGCTGCCCCAAGGGTGGTCGCCCGGCGGGCGCGGGGGTCCCGGACGGCTGGACACTGCCCGCGCCCTCCAGCCCCGCGGGCACCTGCTCCGACACCAGCCGCAGGACCCGGCCCCGGGGGGGAGGGGTCCCGGCAGCTCCTGGAAAGCTCTAGAATCCGCGACTGGGCGCAGGCGACTCGCCCGGCCCGCGGAGCCCGGGGAGCCCGGGGCGGGAGCAGGGGCAGCTCGGGGCTCCCGGGGAGGCCGGGGAGGAGCACGGGGAGGAGCACGGGGAGGAGCGGGCCGGGCGGACCGGGCCGCGGGCCAGTACCTGCACGCCCAGACGCCGCCGCGGCCCGCGCACCCGCAGGCCACCGCGGCCAGGGCCACCGACAGCGACCACGACGCGGCAGTCCCTCCCGGGGCGCGGCGGGCCATGGGCGGCGCGGGCGCGAGCAGGCGGGGCCACCGAGAGCGCGCGGGGCCCCGGCCCGTCTGTCTGTCCGTCCGTCTGGCCGTCTGGCCGTCGCGAGCCCGGCGGGACCACCGGTGACAGCCGGCGCCGGGGCGGGGCGGGCGCGCCACGGCACTTTACGGCGGGGCCGCCAAGCGAGGCCGTCAAGCGGCGCCGCTTCCGGTTCCGGCGGGGGGTGGCGGAAGTGCCGAGCGCGCGCGCGCGGAGTGGACGCAGCCCGCTGGCGGCCGTTCTCGGGGCGGGGGCTTGGGGGCGCCGGAAACGGGACTTTTAAACGAGTTCTGTGCAGCTTCTTCCCAGCTGGGCCGAGCCCTCCCGGCCCCCGCGGGAAGACGGCGACGCAGAGGCCAGCGCGGCCGCCCCGGGCCCTGCCCGCTCCCCCCCGGGTGTGCGTCCTAGACCCCTGCCCGCCCCCCGATCCGCCCTCCAGGTCACCGTCCCAGAGCCCTGCCCGCCCCCCGGGTGACCTCCCAGACCCCTGCCCGCCCCCCGGGTGACCTTCCAGGGCTCTGCCCGCCCCCAGATCCGCCCTCCAGGTCACCGTCCCAGACCCCTGCCCGCCCCCCGGGTGACCTCCCAGACCCCTGCCCGCCCCCAGATCCGCCCTCCAGGTCACCGTCCCAGACCCCTGCCCGCCCCCCGGGTGACCATCCCAGACCCCTGCCCGCCCCCCGGGTGACCATCCCAGACCCCTGCCCGCCCCCCGGGTGACCTCCCAGACCCCTGCCCGCCCCCCGGGTGACCTTCCAGGGCTCTGCCCGCCCCCAGATCCGCCCTCCAGGTCACCGTCCCAGACCCCTGCCCGCCCCCCGGGTGACCTCCCAGACCCCTGCCCGCCCCCAGATCCGCCCTCCAGGTCACCGTCCCAGACCCCTGCCCGCCCCCCGGGTGACCATCCCAGACCCCTGCCCGCCCCCCGGGTGGCCTCCCAGGGCCCTGCCCGCCCCCAGATCCGCCCCCCGGGTGACCATCCCAGACCCCTGCCCGCCCCCCGGGTGGCCTCCCAGGGCCCTGCCCGCCCCCAGATCCGCCCTCCGGGTGACCGTCCCAGACCCCTGCCCGCCCCCCGGGGTCCCAGTTAGGGGCCCGGTGACACCCGGGCGCTGTGACTCTTGGGCCCCCGGAGGTGAGGACGCGGCCCGGAAGCCTACAGAGCCCACCTGGTGAACCCGTTTCTACATCAAAACCGTTTCTAAAACTCCCCGGTGGGTTGGATCTGAGCCTGTGCAAGGGGGCGCTTTAGTTTCCTCCCCCCTTGCTCCGTTTCAGCTGTTCCCGGTCTGCCCAGCTCACTCCTCACCTCCCCAGATCCCGCCTTACTCCCCCCCTCCTTACATTTTAAACATTCCTGTAAAATCTTGAGGAAAGGACGTGAGCCATTTCCCAAGACCATAAAGTCCGCCCCAGAGCTCACCAGAGACTGAGACTATGGGCACTAGCTAAGGCAGAAGGTCAGTTAAATGCCCAGCACTCCTAAATTGGCCAGACCGCTCTGTAAAAAAAAGAGAGAGAGATGTGAAGAAACCAACTTTCATTTGAAAGAAACTGCACGAGAAAGCTCTTTTAACTAGTTCTATACAGTTTTCTTCCCTCCTGGGGAGTTTCTGCTACTTACTTGCCAATAGACTTTTAGTTTTCTTACTTGAGTCTGAGCATAATAATTACTCCCTTGAAAATAGTGAAGACCCTGGGATCCGTGGAGGGACACAGACCCACTCAGCTTCTGCAAGGCCCTAGGGAGGGTGCACAGCCCCGGCACACCCTTGGCCAAGGTGCAGGGCTGATAAGAGGTGACTTTGCTTCTGCTTTGAGGAGCGTTACCCAAAATGGCCTGTGGGTGGTCTCAGCCCTCCACCCCACACCCCTGCCCTCACGACCTTCCCTCCACCCTACCTCCGTGTGAGAGATCTCCAATTTGTTTCAGGAAGTGCATTTCATGTCTGTGGACCTATTTCCGGCCACTCTCTCTCCGGAGAAGGCCAGTTCCTCCCTGACTCACTCCTCGTCCTCACATCCTTAACCGAGGACTTGGGGAACCAACAGCATAACAGTAATGCCCAATGAGTCACGTCCCTGAGTCACCAGTGGCTTTAACAGCCCGCCTCGGTTCCCTCTGACAGCTCTACCAAGGGCGTGAAGATGCCCTAGCTCCTTTAGTACTTCAAGACAGTCTTTGCCCTCTTGCGTGCTGGGCTGCCCTCGGCCTCTGCTTCGATGGGGGAATCAGCATCTCTGGGGGTCAGTGGGCAGAAAAGGAGGTAAGGCAGTGAGTCATGAAAGCTATCTGAGAAAAGGGAGGAACTGGAACGCGTCTCGGGAGTTTCACACCGAAGCATGTCCCTCTGCATTTCAGAGTCCAGAGAGTTCTGTCCGCAGAGCTGACCCACTGGGCCGTAAACTCTGCCTGTGGGAGGCCAGGGCTGGCACTGTGTGGTCCTGAGCACTGCTGGGAGCGAGCCCTGGGCTGCTCTAGGTGTGGCCCAAAAGCAAGGGTGTGTGCACAGGTGTGTGCACGTGAGGTCACTCCCCGCCCGGCACTGCACCGCAGCTGCTTGGCTGGTGTCCAGCCCTTCAGGCCCCGAGCAAGTCTGCGTGTGCCGACGCAGTGAGAGACGTGTCTTGGGCACACTAGATTGTCCTTGGCATGCTTACTGTCCCACAGCTCAACAAAGGGGTGGCCTCAGAATTTCTGAGACAGCTCTCCTGTTTTCTTCTTTGGAAACCACAACAATCCAGCTAAAGGACTTGTTAAAAAGTTGATGACGTAGGCCAAAGATACTGAAAATCTCTCTCTCTCTTTTTTTTATGCAGTACCACTTGAGGGGTGAGGGAAGAGAAAAGTAGCATGCCTTAGGTTTGCATTAGGCTCTCTCTCTCTCACGCTCCCTCTTGTTCTTTGAGCTTTCCTCGACCAGGAGAGCAGGGTTCCTCATGCTGGTGGCTGGGAACCGATTCCTCCAAGTGGAAACGCCCTGAGTGGAAGTGAGGATAAGGATGAAAAACAAAGACGAAAGTTTACCACACACCAGGTCATCAGATGAGAAAGAACAAAATTTTCAGTGGGGATGGGAGCCAGTCGAGCTGCACATTCTCCCAGCCTGGGTTCCGTTCCCTACACCACATGGTCCCCTGAACTCTTTACTGGGTGCCGGGCTAGGAGTTGGGGTGCCTTCTACTCTAGCACCGTGGGGCTCCCAGAGCTCCCAAACACTGCTTGAGAGTCCTCAAAATTAATTAAAATAATTTTTATGTTAAATTCTTGTTTTCCATTCTTTAACAAAGTTCCGCATTACCTGGATCCCATGGGACTTCACTCATGTGTGGGGCCCGGCCTGAGCATGTGGAAAGCAGTCTGGAGCGTGGTGGCGGTTGGGTAGTGGAGGTCAGCTACTGGGGCTGGGTCCCTTGGGGTGGGGAGGTCTCTCACCCGCCCCCTTCTGGGGCGCCCCGAGTGAAAACAGCCTGGCGCAGAGTCCGATAGCATGGTTATGGGGGCCTCATTTTATGCTCCCTTCCGGGAGAAGCAGCTGTGAGTTCTTCTTTGTGACCTTGGACTCTGGGCTCAACAGGACCCAGGAGCAGAGATCCTCTGCCTGCTTTCCCCAGTCTCTGGTGACCCAGGGTCACACCCATAAACCACCTCCTGCCAGTGCCAGATAACCTCATCAGCCACCCTCCAGAACACACACAACACACACACACACACACACATATATATGTATATGCCTCTAAGAGAGCCCGGTAAGCTACCAAGAGTATCCCACCCGCACAGCAGAGCCTGGCAAACTACCCGTGGCATATTCGATATGCCAAAAACAGTAACAATAATGGGCCTCATTCCTCTAACCCTGAAAGAGCCTCCAATACAGCAGCATTGGAAAAGACGAGTAAGAAGAGGCGGCTAAAATCTCAGGACTGGGATGAATGGAGACGTTACTGGTGCCCGCTCGAGTAAATCGATAAACAATGGGATGACAGTGATGATAATTCTTGTTTTCTATTTATATTACTAAAACCATGAGCGAGCGAACCTTTTTTTAACCCTAATGTGAAATGATGATGGTGGGTTTCTTTTTCAATATAAATTTTAATTGCATTATAACATTGCATTCTAAGTATAGGTTTCCGTGTGTATCGTTCCAAATTAGCACCTGTATCTACGACAAGAAGTTTACCACGAAGGCGCCACCTCTGATCTTCACCCTACAGTGGCCCCTTTCACTTAGTTCACCCGCCCACCTTCCCCCTTTCCTCTGAGAAAACTGTGCGTGTTTTCCTATATAGATCTATTTATTGGGTGGGAGGAGGGGACGCTAATATCAGAGTGGCTAAGCATGCCAACCGTTCTCATCTCCCTGTTCTTTGAACTCAGTTACCCACTGGCCTGGTGCTAAATATCAGGAATAAGGTTGTGAACAAGATGGGACGAGGCCTGGGTCTTAGGACTCCTCGTACAACCATAACTAAATGGGCAAAGGGGAGTTGCGTATCAGAAGTGCTATCGAAGCAAGGGGCAACTTGCTGTGAAGGAGCGACAGATTTAAGTTGTCGGGGAGGGGGTTTATAGCGACCAAAGGATACATTTACACAATGGAGTACTATGTAGCTGTTAGAAAAGAGAAGTCATGAAATTTCCATACAAGTGGTACTACATGGAAAGTATCATGCTGACCGAAATGAGTCAGAAAGAGAGGGACAGACATAGAAAGATTGCATTCATCCGGGGAACCTAAAGTAACAAAATAGGAGACTAACACCCAAGAATAGCAGAGTACCAGGTTTTAAGTACCAGGAGGTTTAGTCCATGGCTTGGAGGCCAACTACACATGCTAGGGGAAAAGGCAGCTCAGATAGAGAAGGGAGCACCAAATAAAGGGTGTTGGGAGGATCCTCCCAGGATGGGAGATGCATGCTGAAAGTAGACTATGGACTGAACATGTTTGCCACTCAATGCCTCTTTTGC